CCCATCCGAGTCTGCTATGTTATCATACCCTCTGTAGTATGCTTGGGGCCGTGGAATGGGATTTTGTCCCCTCTGCTGATGTTCACCCGGAGCGTCGGGTAACATCTGACCATGAACATCTACTGGATCTGGGATGTTCTGGCTTGGATCCTCATCATTTATTCCCAAGTTTCGATTCATATTGCGCATTGTACGCTCTAGCTCGTGATCATAGGGAAACAAGGGTTCTCTTCCTCTCCGTGTATTTGGCATACAAGGAGGATAGTTCTGAAAGGAAATCAAAAACAATAAAAAAAAGTAAAATCAAGTAAATATCAACTAAACTTTAGTAATAAGTTCAAGTTAATATAAAAGCTAAATTCCCCGGCAGCGGCGCCAAAATTTGATACGCTCAAACTTACTTCTCAAATGAGAAGTAAAGCGGTCACATCAAGTAAATAACCCAACTAGTGAGGTTGGGATCGTTCCCACGAGCAAAATAGTCTAGACTTAACTTCAACTTGTTATTACTATCGTTCGGTTGATGACTTCCTTAGAAAGTAAAAGCATAAAAAGGGGGGGTTCTATCTCTAAATAAGTGAAAATAAACAACGAACTTGAAAGAGACACTTAACAACTTTTAATTTTGTGTTTTAATCAATTAATCAAAGTAACTAGGGTTTACGCGTTCCCCACAAGTTCATAACTTGATAATCCTAACTATAACAATTCTTTCCTAGTATCTTTCATGCAAAGTGATAGGTTATGTATTTCTAAATCCTTGGTCCGGCATCCAGAAAATCTCACTCCGCACCTTGGTCCGGCTGCGTGTGTTGCTTTCCTAACCCTTATCTTTACCTCATATTAAGCATCGTATTCGATATTTGACTAAGTTATTACCTCGTACCAATCAATACTAGCCTATTAGATAGTACACTATAAATCTATGTTAATAATTCTTTTCCTATTATCTACCTCCTTGGTCCGGCAAGAAGCATTAAGGTGAGTTCTAACGTTAATCATCCGTTTAAAAGACTTCTAAGCGAAAGAATTATTAATACATGCAAGACACAAGTCTAGAATTGTTATTTTAGCTAGGGTTATCTTATTATTTGCCTATGGTTCCCACAACCCTAGTTATGGAATTTAGTTCCTCATAGCCATAAACACAATATTCAAATATATTAAATAAGAATTCATGTACTTACTTCAATGAGAAAGAATAAAGTTCGAAATTTGCTTGATTAATCACCAAAAATCACTTGTAAGAATCTCCAAAAATCAAACACTAAAACACAAAGTCTAATAATATGATGTCTAACCTCCCAGAGTCTAACCTGAAAAACAAGGTTTTTCGAACTATTTATAAAAAATAAAAACCTAATTAAATAAGGATTCTAATAACTGGAAATCTGCCAAAATGCGGCTGGGTCGACGGACCACGCGACGGATCGTCGTGGTCATAACGGACCGTCGTGGACTCTGTCGTCCTATACTTGGTGCAATATCTTCTGCTGCTTTCTTCATTCCCCTTGACGGCAAGTGTGACGGACCGTCATAGGCACAACGGTCCGTCGAGGGTCTTCGTTTCAAAATACTTCAACTCTTGGAATCTGGGTACTGGGATCACTTCTCTGATCTTCACGACGGACCTGCAGGACGGACCGTCATAGCCATGACGGACCGTCACAAACTTCGTAATCCCACACTTGGTCAGACTTCCCCATCTTCCCTCAGCAGCTTCTCTATGCTGCCACCTACGGACCGTCACAGGCACGACGGACCGTCATAAGCTCCGTAGGTGGTCTCTTCTGCATTTTCCACTCAAAATCTTCGCTTTCAGCTTTGGACAGATTTCCTGCAAAACAAAGAGAAACTTATATCAAAATTAGCACAACAAAGGCTTTCAGACACACTAAACTTAAGGAAAAAGTATTAATTATACCGTGAAACCACGGTATATCACCCACCTATGCAGATGTTCAATTTTGTCGAACCAAAATCCACCCCCAAATCTCCAAAATTTTCCCCCAATGTATCCAAATTACCCCCAATCTTATCAAATTCCACCCCTTATCAGAATATTGCTCCCAACTGTGCCAATGTACAGTCGAGCTACCGAGCACCTTTCCCCACATATCAAGTCCAAGATCTAGCATATCAAAAACCCCTCCCAAATTACCAGACAAACCCCTACCCTAGAACCCAAGATCCTCGCCCAAATACCCGCAATTATCAACAGATTCCTCCCCCTCAGCAAAGCGGGTATGATCCTTCTCGTCCCAGGTTTGAAAAAAGGCCTTCGAGGAACTTTACTGCACTGGCTGAAAGCCGGACCAAGCTATTCGAAAGACTATCCGCGGCCAGATACATCTACTCTGTGGGGCCCAAGCCTGTGGATATCAACTCTAAGTTCTACAAACCGAAGCAAAGATGTGCTTATCATTCCAACAGTGTTGGACATGACACAAGAGACTGTATCAATCTTAAACACAAGATCCAGGATCTGATTGACTAGGAGGTAGTCTCCCTCCAATCGGCAGCGCGAAACGACAATACAAATCCGTTGCCGAATCATTGGGGTGGAAACATTAATATTATAGAAACAGACGAAGACGAGTGTGAAACCAAGAGGATTACTCCTGTTGCGCAGGAAGACTTGGAAAGGGTTGTCGCTTCTTTAAGCGTCAAATAAAAAAGAGAGTTCGTTATTTTGACACCTACAAAGGCTGTTGCCTTCGAAACCTCTCGCCAAACCCAAGTTTGTCATTAAAACCGCTGTGGCCCAAGGCATGACAAGGTCCGGAAGATGCTACACTCCTGATGAGCTTGCTCTCGGAGGACAAAAGAAAGACCATGCCAAGAGGCCAATAAGTGAAGCAGAAGCAGAAGAGTTCTGGAGGAGGATGCAACCGAAAGATTATTCCATTGTCAAACACTTGGAGAAGACTCCGGATCAGATCTCCGTGTGGACCCTATTGATGAGTTCTCAGTCCCACGGGCAGGCTTTGATGAAAGCTCTTGATGATACGTACGTGCCGTCACGTACAAGCAGCGATAACGTAGCTGCCATGATTCATCAAGTCATTTGGGCACACCGCATCAGCTTTTGTGATGATGAGTTGCCAGTCGAAGGGAGATCCCACAACAAAGCTCTTCACGTCACTGTGATATGCCGTAGAAAGGTCGTCAATTGTGTTTTGGTAGATGATGGATCTGGTTTGAATATGCCCCTTGTCGACATTGAAACAGCTGAGGTTTGACCTCAGAAAATTTGAGCAAAACCAGGTTAATGTAAGAGCGTCTGATTGTGTGCAAAGGGACACATTAGGGGCGATGAACTTGACCCTTCAAATGGGCCCCGCAGAGTTTAGCGCAAAATTCCAAGTGTTGGATATCAACACCAGCTATAACCTTCTTTTGGGAAGGCCGTTCATTCACATTGCTGGAGCCGTCCCCTCCACTCTCCATCAAATGATGAAGCTGGTATGGAAAAATGAGGAGCTAGTTGTTCACGGTGAGAGAAGTCACTCAGGTAAGCAGGTGCTGGTCTTTGATGAGACGCTGCGAGGTCCGGAATTTTACACGGTGGAGTTATTAAATGCCACTGATGAGGATTTGGCCCCGCAGACCCCCATGCCGGTCGTGTACAAAATGTTCTCCAAGGTAATGCTGCAGAATGGGTTCGAGCCAGGTTTCAGATTGGGAAGAGATTCCCAAGTGATTATTGAACCTATTCCGGTCCTTGCTAAAGGATCCAAAAATGGTTTGGGGTATACTCCCACAGATGACGACATGAAGATGAAGAAGAAAAAGGATAAGAGTTGGCTAAGCCATCTCGCATCTGTATCAATCCTTTCCAATCCGGGAGTATGCTGAGCCTGAAGACTGTGGGGAAGGAATCTGTGACCTCTTCAAGGAGATCAATGTTGTTATCGAGGAGGAGGTCGAGCCAGCTGGTATTTGTGATGCTGAACCAGAGGAGATGTTGCAGAATTGGACTTCCACGCCGATCCTGATGTCCCGAACTCTTTGGTAGAAAGGAGTTATTTTATGCACACTAAAATCGGTGGTTGTCCGGAAGAGGCCCGAGACCCACCATTTCTGCATTTTTCTTAATTGTTCAAATTTTGAATTTTCGTTGTGATGTTTAAAAAGGCAACATGGCCCTGTGCCGTGACCAAAGTTTGCATTTTGTTTTAAATGAAAGCCTCTTTATTTTTAACTTTGTTTATTTAGTTGTTTGTTATACTTTACTTTCCTAATTTTGTCTGTTTATGATTTCAGTAACATAAGTTACAGACCCGCCAATGTCATGTCATGTCATGAGCTAAATGAACAAAATGAGAAAAGTGACGACAAGGTTGACGACTATGAAGAAGAAAGTGGGGAACCAGATTATGTTGTAGAGGAGTTTCGACAATTCGAGAATCAGCATAAACCGCATCTAGAAGAGGCGGAAATGGTGAATTTGGGAGATTTGGAATATGTCAAAGAGGTTAAGATCAACACCCACCTGAATGAAACTCAGAAGGAGGGCCTGGTTCATTTGCTTGCCAAATACAGTGATGTGTTTGTTTGGGAAGTCGGTGATATGCAGGGGTTGAGTACCGATGTCGTATCTCATAAGCAACCTATCAACCCAGGGTTCGACCCGGTGAAACAAAAGACTCAAAAATTCAATCCTGAACTGAGTTTGAAGATTAAGGAAGAAATAACCAAGAAATTAGAGTCTCGATTGGTGGAAGTAACGCAATATCCAACCTGGTTGGCCAATGTTGTTCCGGTCGCCAAGAAGGATGGGAAAATCAGGATTTGTGTTGATTATAGAGATCTCAACAAGGCTAGTCCAAAGGATAATTGTCCGTTGCCAAATATCCATATTTTGATTCACAACTGTGCCAAACATGAGATGCAGTGATTTGTTGACTGTTATGCAGGTTATCACCAAATTTTGATGGATGAAGAAGATGCGGAAAAAATGGCATTCATTACACCTTGGGGTGTATATAACTACAGGGTGATGCCGTTCGGCCTCAAAAACGCCGGTGCCACTTACATGAGAGCCATGACGACTATTTTCCATGACATGATTCATAAGGAAATTGAAGTGTGCGTGGACGACGTCATAATCAAATCCCGTGAGTGTTCAGATCATATGACACACCAAAGAAAATTCTTTGAACGTTTGCGTCGGTACAACTTGAAGTTAAATCTCGCCAAATGCGCTTTTGAGGTCCCAGCTGGGAAGTTGTTGGGATTTATAGCCAGCAGAAGGGGTATTGAGTTTGACCCCTCCAAGATTAAAGCAACTCACGAGTTACCTCCGCCTAAAACAATAAAAGAGGTGATTAGTTTCTTAGGGAGGTTAAACTATATCAGCCAATTTATAGCACAATCAACAGTGGTGTGTGAACCTATTTTCAAGTTGTTGAAGAAAGACGCCCCGACTAAGTGGACTGAGGAGTGCCAAACTGCTTTTGATGCCATCAAGAGCTACTTGTCTAACCCACCGGTATTGGTTCCTCGGCGAGAAGGGGACCCTTTGTTGCTATATTTGTCTGTTTCAAATAGTTCCTTCGGATGTGTACTTGGTCAGCACGATGAGACAGGAAAGAAGGAAAGGGCTATCTACTATATAAGCAAGAAGTTTACTCCGTATGAGTCTTGTTACACTTTGCTGGAAAGAACATGTTGTGCTCTGACGTGGCTTGCCCAGAAATTGAGACATTTTTTGTCTTCATATACTACAGATCTCATTTCCAGAATGGATCCATTGAAGTACATTTTCCAGAAACCGATGCCGACCGGAAAGTTAGCTAAATGGAAAATGTTGTTGAGTGAGTTTGATATCGTGTATGTGACTCGGAATGCAATAAAGGCACAAGCTTTGGCTGATCATCTTGAAGAAAATCCTGTGGATGAAGAATACAAACCACTCAAAACTTATTTTCACGATGAAGAAGTATCATTTGCGGGTGAAGATATTTCTGAAACATACCTAGGTTGGAGATTATTCTTTGACAGAGCGGCGAATCACCAAGGTAAAAAGTATTGGGGCAGTCTTAGTATCAGAATCTAGTCAGCACTATCCTATGGCTGCTAAACTCCGATTTAATTGCATAAACAACATGGCTGAATATGAAGCTTGTATTCTTGGTTTGAAAATGGCCATCGACATGAACATTTACGAGTTATTGGTTATTGGAGATTCAGACCTTTTGATCCATCAGGTTCAAGGTGAATGGGCTGTGAAGAACCCAAAAATTATACCTTACGTACAGTATGTGTAAAATCTATGTAAAAGGTTTCGGAAGATCGAGTTCAGACATACTCCCAGAATACAGAATGAATTAGCCGATGCTCTTGCCACCATCTCTTCAATGATCAAACATCCAGATACTGATTACATCGACCCGCTGGATATAGAGTTGAAGGAACACCCAGTCCATTGTTCACCTGTTGAATCAGAACCAGACGGTTTGCCTTGGTATGTTGATATAAAGAGGTACTTGGAGTCTGGGACATATCCAGAAGACGCTACATCTAATCAGAACAAGTCGATACGCCATATGGTTCTCAATTACATTCTAAATGGAGAAGTTCTGTGTAGGAGGACTCCAGATTTGGGTCTTTTGAGATGTGTGGATGCTGCTGAAGCTGTGAGGCTTATTAAACGAATGCATACTGGAGTTTTTGGTACGCATATGAATGGCCTTACTTTGGCAAGAAAGATTCTTCGAGCCGGTTATTTCTGGATGACTATGGAGAATGATTGTTGCAAATTCATGCAAAAATTCCACAAATATCAGGTGCACGGCGATTTGATACGGGTGCCACCTCAAAAACATAGCGCTATGAGTTCACCTTGGACATTTGTAGCTTGGGGAATGGATGTCATCGGTCCTATAGAGCCAGACGCTTTCAATGGACACAGATTCATTTTGGTTGCCATTGATTATTTCACCAAGTGGGTGGAGGCAGCCTCTTACAAGTCGGTAACCAAGAAAGTGGTGGCCGATTTTGTTCGCAATAATCTGATATGCAGATTTGGAGTTCCACAATCCATCATTATTGATAATGGTGCAAACCTCAACAGTCATTTGATGAAAGAGATATGTGAACAATTTAGGATTATTCATCAAAAGTCTACTGCTTATCGCCCCCAAATGAACGGAGCTGTAGAGGCCGCCAACAAGAATATCAAAAAGATCTTGAGGAAAATAATTGACAAACATCGAGGTTAGCATGAAATATTGCCATACGCTTTACTAGGTTATCGAACGAAGGTCAGAACATCGACTGGTGCCACTCCGTACTTGCTAGTGTACGGAACAGAGGCATTCATACCTGTTGAAGTCGAGATACCGTCATTGAGGATCATCTAAGAAGCTGAATTAAGTAACGCTGAGTGGGTTAGCAAATGGATCGATCAACTGGCTTTGATTGATGAAAAGAGAATGATTGACGTTTGCCATGGACAGTTGTATAGACAGAGAATGACTCGCGCCTTTCACAAAAGAGTAAGAGCCAAAAATTTTGAAGTTGGTCAGTTGGTTCTTAAGCATATTTTCCATCATCAAGACGAATACAAAAGAAAGTTCGCGCCAAATTGGCAGGGTCCTTACATGGTTCGTAAAGTACTGTCTGGAGGTGCTTTGGTCCTGTCAGAGATGGATGGCAGTGTATGGCCCAAACCTATCAACTCAGATGCTGTCAAGAGATACTATGTGTGAAGTTTCATTTTGCATTTTCTGTTATTTACTTGTAATCGTTCTGTTTGCTTGTATTTGTTCAATTTGAATTCTTATCCCTCTTGCAATGAACTACGTCTGACCTGAATTCTCAAGAATGAGATACGTAGGCGGCTTATGTCGGCCTCGGTCACCCCATTTATCCCTTTAATTATCTCTTGTATCTAAACTACGTTCGACCTAAATTCTCAAGAATGAGATACGTAGGCGGCCTTTGTCAGCCTCGGTCGGTTTCTTTGTAAATTTTATTCTTATTAACCTTTAAGGGGAACTACGTTTGACCTGATTCTTGCCTCAACGGGATACGTTGGCGCCACAAGGGTTCGGTCATATCTTTCGTAAGTTCCATTCCTTTTGCAGTGAAACTGGGACAAAATTTTTGAGAGGGACTCAAAATTCTCCTGAAGAAGGTTCCACCACGGCAAGTCAAACTAAAGATATTTCGAGACCTACAACTGGGAAAGAATTTTTGAAAAGATCTCAAAAATTCCGTGATATGCTCAGTAACAGTGGAAAAATAAGCAGGACAGTAAACTGGGACAGAAATTTTGAGAATTACCTCAACATTTCGTTATGGGTTTTACCTACAAGTCCGGAGTGACTCCTAAACTCATCAGCGAATGTCAGACAGACCTTCAAATGTCAGATTCAAAGAAGCTCGTTAAGCCTGATATGACATGACTTGGCAGTGACCTTTTCAAGATACTTTTCTTTAAAAAAATTATTTCTCTCAATTTTTTCCTTTTATGTTTCATTTATTTTGGCATAAAATAGTTTGTCTTATCTATCAAGACTAGAGAAATCGGGGAATCAACCGGAGATATCAAGACGAGGAGCAAACAACTAAAGAAATCGACACAGATCAGTACGTTTTAAAACTGATAATTTTTCTGTGGATTCAGGTTTATAGATTTGCTTTGAAATCGGACAAATACTCCCGACGAATAAATACGGAGAACTCCAAAGAGGAGAAAACTATCTCCAAAATCAGTAATTTTACTGAGAGCAGGAAGCGTTTCATATCGCTTATCTCAGAGACTTGAGAATGTGGTTTGTTTATTTCAAGCAACTTCCAAAAATATGAAATCTACAAAGAGTGTCTAGCCAGATTCAAAGGTGAATCAAACAAGAATCTCAACGAAGACTTCACGATTTCCGTATAATGACGCTAGTTGCATTACATTATCAAGCAAGATAATTATTGTCAATCAAGCCAATGCATTACCCCAGAAGAAATAGTTATTTCATTATTATTTTATTATCGATCAACTCGATATATTATCTGGAGGTCGTCTTGCCTTTTTAATCAACACAGACGATATAAATATTCATGCATTGCGATTTAAAAATCATGCACTGCGGAAAATCATGCATCGCAGAAGTCATGCATTGCGGAAGTCATGCATTGCGGAAAATCATGCATCGCAGAAGTCATGCATTGCGTAAATCATGCATAGCGGGAAATCATGCATCCCAAGAGCAATATTTATCTATCAACATCAACTACATTCTTTATTTTTGAAAAAAGCAAACATCAAGGAAATTATCGAAAATGATGGCAAGCGAAACATCGATATCGCATCACCATTTATTTATTTTAACATCAAATGAAGAGTACATAGAAGATTATATTGCAAAACACAAGTCATAAGCTTTATTTGTTGTACGTCAGACCAATCGAGTTGATGTCGAAGATTGAGGAGGACAATGAAGTGTCGACATGGTAAAAAAGACACTGTCTCCCATCCTAATTGCATTTTTTAAGTTGACGAATTTTATCTCAGTCTTTATCGAGAGCATCCAAAAGGATGAATTCTCCAAAAACCACAGGTGCGGACGACATCAAAAAGGATGCAGCACAACGTGGAACTTTTCCTTAGCAGCGAACTGGGACACACTCCAAAGAGGAATGTCAAACTCTTGGGACGCGAGCAGAGGAGCGACTTCCACCGTAATCGAACCAACCCTATCAAAGCATATGAGTATTTCTTTAGGTCTATCAGTTTCAGTCTCGCATCCGAAATTTTGATGTACCGAAAGCAAGTTTCCAATCTAAGAGACAATGCGCCAAGATCTTTGGAAATTATGTCCGTGTAAGTTCTTAATTATGGGTGTGAAGCGCGCCACATTCATGGCTAATAGGTCACAATCCTCCTTTTCATATTCGTTTAATTTGTCACTTGTCCAAAATCGAAGGTTATTTAGCATAATAGAGTTCCTTTTCCACCGATCGAGTCGAACTACACACAGCCTGATTCCGGAGGTTTAAGGATATGTAGGCGGATTCAATGTTGAAAGCTCGGCTGTAGTCTAACATTCGCTCTCGAATTTTATTCTCGAGCATTTCTATACCTTCATAATTCGGTATCGAGGTGGCTTTTGGATTTTTTTGAAGTCGTGCGTTAAATCAAACTCATCGAACTATAAGTGGCCTGAATTCTCCTATAGCCTGAGATATGTAGGAAGCCCGTCTCAAAGGTTCGGCCATAATTCCTAAACCCTTCGCCAAATCCTTCCTTTAAAGATGAATGGGGTTGGTCAAAATTGGTTTGGTCAATTTCATTTTCCTCGAATTGCTTGCATCAACCCAAGTAAAATGAGGGACATTTGTTGACACCCAATTTTGACCCGCGTCGGTACAAAATTGATTCTCGAGCTTCGTAAGTTTTCCAAACAATTTAAATTAATTGGGTTTATAAATTTTGCGAAAATACAATAATATAATGCATGAACTTTATGTTACTTCGGATACTTTTTATCATAACTTTAGATAATATATATATTTTACATCGTTATGTATATAATTAGTATATTTTATGATTATTCAAAAACCATTTTTAAAATAATAATAATAATAATAATATATTTTTAAGTTTAGTAAGTATTCTATTAAAATAATTTAGTTTAAAATATGGTTATATTTTAAATAACTATTTTACAATTTAAATAAATTACTAAATAAAGAAGTTCTTTAATTAATTAATACAAATTCATTTTTTGTTTAAGGTTTGGCAAAATTCATTATACTGGCTCAACTTGGATATTCATTAAATTAACCCATTCTTAAACTTAACTTAACTTAGTTTGGGCCATTTACACAAATTCCCTTTAATTCCCAGACCCACTTTATTTATTCTAGTTTTCAGCCCAACTATCTTCAATTATTCCCAGCCTAATAATTCTCAGCAGCCCCAAGCCCATTCCCTTTTATTTAATTTCCAGCCCACTCCCTTCTATTCCCTTTTCTTTTCAGACTAAAGGCCCAATTCCCTTTTGCTCTCACCAATTTTAAGACAACCCAAAACCCAGCGTCACATTCCCTTTTTCCTTTGACCTGACCCGACCCGAATTTCGCCCCTCCTTCTTCCACAAAACCCACGCAACAGCCGCGACCCCTAGCAGAAAAATAGAAACCCCCTAGACGTCCCTAGACGCGAAACTTTTTTCAAAAACTCCCTCACGCGTTTGTCGTCTCCACTCCCTCGTCTCTCTCACGCGCAAAGCCTCTCCCAAAATGCCCTCCTCTCTCTCCTTCTTTCTAGCGCGTGTGGAGGAAACAAAGCAGCAACAGACTCCTGCATCCCTGCCAATGTCGTATGATCTACAGCGCAAAGCGGTGCGGAATCGTTCTTGTTATCGCGGTATTGAGCCACGTCATTTTCCAAGGACGAGAGATCGATCTGGAGCGTCCACTTCATCACCTTCCGTTGGGAATTCGGCATCAAAATGGCATATTCCCTCAACTTTGGATAAGATTTAAGAAATTTGAACTACAAATGGGCTTGAAATCACCCTCCAGCCTTTCTCTCGGAAAACCCTAATTTTTTTCTTCTATATAAATCCCCCCATCACCTTCAGAAAAAGGGGTTGTTGTTGTTTTTGGCTGAAATCCCACTGTTATAAAATATAGAGATAGTCGAATTTTTGTGAGAAAGGGAGGCAATCCCATAGATAAAATTCATACTTGTTCCCATTTAATAGGATATTCTGTTCATAAAGGGACTAACAAAGATTCTTAGAACGATTCGGACGAGAGGAAACCATTTCTTCAAGTGTTGGTGCGACGTTCTAGTTCAAGTATTCGAAGTAGAGGGGTGGTTTTAAGGTCGTGATAGTGTCGCTTTTCCTTTGCTCGTATAATCTCCAAGTTCGCTGCTCTTCAAAAGGTAACATTCGGCTCGTTTTAATGCGACTTACTATCAGTATTCCTTAATTTGGTCTTCTCTTGTGTAAGGAGGCTTATATGTGGGTGTTCAAAGTATTTTGATGCATCGTTAATCTCTATAATAATGATAAGTTCTGTTATTAAAAGCCTTCATTAGTTCAGTCTATTTTTTTTAGATATTAGCGATTATTTTGTGTTATGGTCTGTTTCACTGAGTTTGTTTGTTTCGTGCTATTCCCTGCTCTTTCCAAGTTTGTCGTGGCGTAGCAACAATCGATCTTAGCGTATCAGGTTTAGTTTGTTCTATCTCTGAGGTGCCATGGATTGATAATATGATGTTGCATCCTTTGTTTCACTCCCCTAGAGTTAGACGAGTGAAACAAGATAGCCTAGTATCGAGTGATAGATTTATATGTTTGTTGACCTCTATTTGACGCTTGAAGTTTCCCGTATGCTCGTCTTTCTTTCCTCGAGTGTATTTATGGCATGCCTTCTGCTTTCTTACTGTTTGGGTATTCGTCATGATCTTTTTCCCTTTACCATAGTTAAAATATAAGAGCAATGCTTCAATCTTCTAAGTTTGTGTAGGCATTTGTTTTGTTTGTTTCCGAGTTTATTTTGTTTATTATTTTGGTTACTGGTGGCAATTCTAATGGCATTTTTTATTTTCAATTAGATGTATGACTTTGTTGTGCACATGCATATGAACAAGTATTCTTTGGCATATGTTATTTTGCATACACGCATTATTACTAAATGTCTAATGGTAGTATGGCAACAGGAACGCCACTCACATTGCACTTTCACTTAGGCGTGAGATTTTGTTTCTGTTCTTGCATCATAGTTAATTCTCTTTCGATATTTTTATTTTTTTTTAAGAAATTTTTTTTAGAAATGGAGCATAACTCCCAAATATGTTGCTTCACCACATCATATAATTAGCACATCTATCACGATATAAAATATACTTCCTCTGTACCAAATTTATATGATTGGAAATCATTTTCGTTTGAGTTTTAGGTTTCATATTTATTTCCTTAATTGCTTGAATTGCTAGAATCCCATTTAGTCATACGCTTTTATTTCAAGAAAAAACAAAATGATGAACATGGATATTTATAAAAAGTCCATTTTTGGGGGATATTATTTGCTTATTTTTACCTTCAAGTACCTGTTTCTTCACTATGTTTCAAGTGGCCCTAGTATTGATCGATGTTTGAGTGGTAATTAAGACATTTTTAATATATTTTTCTTACTATGTTTCCATGAATTCTTGCCATGAATGGGTTTAGATTTTCTCTTTACTGTTCGCATAAGATTGATGTTCATTTTTATGCCATAGAGGTTTAATTAGCATGATTTATAATGTGCATTCATCTTGCCTAAATGTTAGTAAAGTGTTGTGATTTCTTTATTTGCCTTTTGTTATGTTTATACGTGTATAAATGTTTTACTTCCTATTCTTTTATGAAGCCTTCCAGTTAGTGTATTTTGTTCACATTCCCTATATTCCAAGTTAGTTATCCTATTTTGCTAATTCATTTTTTTCTTCTTATTTCTGTGGCATATAAATTGCATACAAGTCCGCCCGTGGACTTCTTTCTCGCATCCCAAAGAGCCATAAAGGCTCAAAATTCTTTTCATTCGAGTCAAACTATCAAGACAGACGTGCAAGATTCGAATTTCCATGAAGATTGAAGAAACTTGAAAAAGGCGGATTAGAAGATTTTTTTTATATTTATTATAATGTATTTATTTTGGGCATAAGACCTTGTCGTTTTACTTTCTTGTATTTATTCTTGTATGCTTAGATTAGGACAGGTGAAGTGGGTCGAAAACCCAAACGAGAAATGGGTTAAAAACCCAAAAAGCAGGTGG